AAATCATCCCAGCCAAGGCTTTATCAATCCGGGCCTTAAAAACCTCTAAGGATGGAGATTCCACCACCTCCCTAGGTAACCCATTCCAGTACTTCACCATCCTCCTAGTGAAATAGTGTTTCCTAATATCCAACCTAGACCTCCCCCACTGCAACTTGAGACCATTGCTTCTTGTTCTGTCACATGTTCTTGTAAACATGTGAGAGCAGGCATATTGGATGTTGAACTCCTTCCAGCTGGATAGTATCTTCTGCATTTCCAAGTAACAGCTAAACCTCTGAGCAAGGGTTTTCCAGAGGTCATGGCCTCCAGATCTTATCATTTCGGTTGTTAGTCCATCTTTTCCTGGAGCTTTTTCTTCCTTCATTTGGTAAATTGCATGTCTAACTTTGCTGCCAAGGACCTGGAGTATGCGCTCATTGGTCTGTTGAAGTGTTGGTAGTGGGACATTTATTTGAGATGTGAACAGTTCGGTGTAGAAATCTTTACAGACCACTTCCATTCCTGTTCTGTCAATTACTGCTTTTCCATCCTTTTTCTTCAGCGCCGTTATTGTCTACCTGTACAACATCAGATCCTGTTTGCATTTTTTGAGGTTTCTGCGATCTTCAGCCATCTTTGAGAGCCTTTAATTTTGGTACTTTTCAAAGTCCTCCTTTAGTCGTCTTCTTATCAGCTTGCAGAGGAGGGAGCACTCGAGTTTGTCATTATCATTTTGCTTTATATTCCTCTGCTTCTCTAGCAAGTTCCTTGTTTCCTTCGAGATTCTTCCCTTCGCTCTTTTCAGTCTTTCTTTTTCAGCTAATTTCTCTCATTGCCTCAACTTATCAGCAAAGTTTTTATAGTCCTCGTTGTAGCTATCTATGAGACTCCAGTCTTCCTTGGAAATGTTCACTTTTAGGATTGTTTCGTTTAATATTTTCGGCTGCTGTCTCTGATTTGCCATTTATAGCGCTTTCTTCTCCACCTTTACGTTGAAGTTGAGCCTCGCTCTGAACAAGCTGAGTTGTGGTGTTGGACAGAGACCCCCGTCCTTTATTAGGATTAGAAAGTGCCTTGAGTAGAACCCTTTTCCCTTGAGTATATTGGGTAGATCCTCTATAGTGCCTATTTGTAGCAAGGAGAGAACCTCAGTCTCTAGTGAAAAGGATCCCTGAAATGGGAAGTGGGGAGTTGGAAGGAGGTAGGGTTTTGAGCCATCTATCTGAAGCTATTGCTTACCATTTGTAAAATTGGGACAGTCAGTCTTCAAAAGGGGCAAGGAAAGGAAGTAAAGAGACTGGGTTGCAACACTTAAGCATTGCATCAAATCTGAGGACGTATTTATAGTCCAGATGAAAACACTCTTCCTTGGCAAGTGAAGAAGAATTTCTTGCATAAAATTGAGGTTCATGGAAGTGTCCTGGAGAGAGCCAATATGGCTGTCTTATCCACAGTGGAACTTACACTTCTGTCCAGAATTCTGTGGTTGGATTTGGGTGGTAAAATTTTTACTGATGGGGATCCTCATACTCTCTCCTAATGGGCAGTCTTCCTTTATGCTGTGGAACCTGTTCTTGATCGAAGTCTGATTTGCAGATTGGATCTCTGTTCTGTCCCCAATGGTAAGTAAGATAGCAGAGGTCTAGGTTGTAATTCCAAGAAAGATGAGTGCTTTGCTCAGAGAACCAGAATAAGTCTTAGGTAGAAGAGGAATTGGAGAGCTGTGAATATCAGCCATACATCTTCTCTCCTCTAAGAGAGAACTGTCCTTATGTATGACTGGAACTGATTCTATCTTCCATAAAGCATCTTTGTGTAAAAAAGCTGGAAGTGAGCTTTGAGAAGGATATGCATCCAAATCACTTATCTGTGGTGTGAAAGTTCAGAACTGGTGCTCAAAACAAAAGACAAAGCTTCTTTCTTAGAATGCAAACTGTCCTTCTGTCTAATCTTTAGATCTGAAGGACGTGGATCTGGAGCAATCAGATGTGATATATCTAAGGAATGCCTTCTGCCTCTTTTGATCATCTGTTCCTTGGCTGGATCAGGAACATATGGATCCAGTGACACATGCCTTGTGGATTGGCTCTGTATACAAAGGCCAGCACCACTGAGGCTGGAACAATTTGTATAGTGGGGGTACTGAAAGCCATTGAACCAAACTGCAAACCATATACATGATGAAACAACTTCAAGCCAGGGGGTACGGCAGCACCCCCAGCACTCCTAGTTCCAGCACCTATGTATTGAGGAGTGTCGGCTCTTAGGCATGCAATCCACAAATTTCAGATCCTTGTTTGGAGTCAGTTTTCTTGGAGTAATCCCTTGGATCCTTTAAGAATGTTGGATCCATCTGGCTTAGCTCTCAGTGCCTCCTTCAGCACTATTGCTTGTAGCCTGGTCTGCCTCTCTTTACAAGCCTTCTGAATGAAAAATGAACATGTCAAACAACTTGATGGAGTTTACTTTTCCAAAACATGCCAAGCATCTTGTGTGTGCATCGGATGCTGGGAAAACCAAAGGGGATGAGTCATGTCTCTTAAATTCTAGCTGTTTGATCTTTGGATCCACATTCCTGGAATCAAAGTTGATGGTATCGAACTATGTCTAAACACCTAAGATAAGCTATTTAGATAATTTTTTTTGTTCTTAGTGTAAACTCTGACTTAAAACTTTCCCAGTCTAAAAGGCACTGAAGAAAAGGATCCAGCTGAAGCATAATGGAGCAGTTCCTGAACAGTCAACTAGACACAGTAGGAAGGAACTGAGACGACTGGAGTACTTCACCCTCAGAATGTTCACGAACACTGAGGGGAGGGATGGAAGGAGTGTGTGAATGTTCCAGCGGCCCACTACTAGTTAAACTGCCACTGTCTAAGCTGCTCCTGGTGGCCGCATCCCATGAGCAGGAATATACAGAGGCCACTCGAAGAAGGTGATTTCTCAGTTCAATTCGAGTTGTGTATGGACACATTAATTATGTGTATCTCTTGTTTTGTGCTAGATTTTCTGGGAGATGGCAGTGGTGCATGTATTTCTGCTTAGGAACTGTCAAATACAATTTGTGGTTTTCCTTTTATTAGACCAATGATGGGGAGATAACTGAAGATTCTCCAGGCCAAAGGAGCTGTAATGTCTATTTTGTTTGGTACATGGTTTACATTAAACAAATCTTACATTGTATGTGTGGGTTTTCTATTTCTATAACTGGGAACTACAGCGGCTCTCCGGGAGACAATGCAAGGTTATTCTCAGCATTTCCTTTGTCTTTAACCCCCATTTGTTTCTCTTATTCCTATTACCTTTACTTCCTGGTTAAGGGTAGAACCTGGTTAGATCACCCTATCATATAGAAAAATGCTATTAGGCGAAGGGTGCGTGAAGTTTTTGTTGCTGGCCACTGTCTGAAGGAATAAGGCCCTGACCCCTCATGGGGCACCAAGTGGGTGGAGTTTGAAATCAATAAGGCTCCATCACAGCACCAAGGTCCCAAATTGTAGTAGTCACCTTTTGAAACAAGCATATTAGTGTGCATGAAAAAGCTGAATAACACACACAATTTTTAATGTTATGTTTTGTTCGAAGCAAAACACGTATTTCAGGATTTCTGTTTACTGGCTGAATCTAGGATCTATTGGATATTTGAATAATAACCCCCCAGACCATGGTATATCTTTGCAAATAGGATTGTCAGTTTCTTGGATTCCTCAACTCCTGTGGGTTTCCTCTTCATCTACATTGCATTTGAACTAATTTTTCCTCTAATAGGCTACACCCTTCCCAGCAAGCCAACTGCCTTTTAATATTGGCAGGAAAGGCTAAACATTTTTAAAAGCAGCTTTAAGCCCTCACCCTGGAAAAGTACATACTGCTTATGCATATTTGAAAGTGATAGGGAAATGCATTAAATGGAGCCACCTAGGAGAAAAAATAGTCCTCCAAACTGGAATAGGTGTTCTAGATACTCTTTCAGTATCAGGAATATCTTTCTTGCTTATGTATCAATGAGTATGCCATACCTCCATCCTTTTGAGTGGCATTAGATTGGTTCTTAGGGTGTGAGATCTGTAAGGCCCTGAACCTGCTGTCTTATTCACGGGGCCAGACTCCAGTGTCCACATAAAGCCCTATTAACTTAAATCTTACTCTGTGTGCAAGGAAGGGTCTGTGCATGTGGATCAGATTGTAGGTTTGTGGTTAAGGCATATTTGTAATTTGACAAAGACACAAACATGTCAATGGGTGTTGCATAAACGTGTCTATTTAAAGCGGACTGTGAAATCTTAAGAGCTTCAGTGGTATAACTAACACTGCACTTAAGAAAGTGGGATTGAACAGATAGAGCAGGCTTATAGAAGCCAAACATACAACTTGGATTCACACGCTTAACTTTTGTTTTAACTTTAACAAATTCTGTGTTTATTTCTACAGGGAGAGGGAACCAGGGCAACCAGAAGAAAGGCAGATTGTGGTAGGTAGCTAAGAGTGGCTACATCTTCTAAAGGGGCACTGAGGTTTAAACATCACTGCTTTGCCTGCTGTTACTGGGTTGTAGGGCTCAGCTCCATGGCACTGCAGCAAGGCCGTGGCCACACAGTCTCTTTTCTGTAGCCTGCGTGGGGCCAGCACCACACAAACTAGGAGTGAAATGGGCAGGCTAGTGGGTGGTACCTAGCCTGGCATTAATCTCATTGCTCGCTCAGCTGTCCCAATAACTGTTCCCACACAGCTGGGCTCTAACTATTCCCCCAGCACAGAAGGAGGGTGGCAGCCACTCTAGCCAGGGCCTGGACTAAAACCTGCACCTCCTACTGCCCCCGGCCTGTGCTCTGGCCAAGGGTTCTCGCCAGCAGCCCCTGGCTGTCCGCTGTGCTCGGCCCGCCTACGTAGGCTTGTAAAGGGCCAATTGGCAAGTTCCGGCCTCCCAACTTGTGGGAAGCGCGGGTGTGGCTCCGCCCCGTCCCACTAGATCTCGGGGTCGGTGCTGGCCAATTAGGGCTGGGTCCGCTGGGACTGCGGCTGGGCTTGTGATGGCCGCCTGAGGAGTGAGTGCGCGAGAGCAAGGGCCGGGATCCAGGGCGGGCACGCGAGCCGGCGCGGACTGTTGGAAACGGCGGCGTGTGAGGCAGGCGCGCGGTAGGTTGCGGGGGGGCTGTGCAGACAGTGGGGGTTGGGGTCCGGGAGCGCTGGGACGCGGCGGGGTGGGGAAGCCACCGCTCGCCCGGGGCGACTGAGCTCGGAGACCTGGTGGGGCTCTGGCCCTGAGTAGGGGCCACGCGGGTCTGTGCCCAACAGCCGGGCTGCTCCTCCCTCTCTTCGGCCCTTCCGGGGGTGGGGTGAGCTGGTTTCTCTTGCTCCCGCAGCCGAGGGGGGATGTGGGGCTCATAGGGCCATGGGGGCCGAGAGCGAGCCTCTGTCCCGCCCCCCCCCCCCCCCGGTGTGTGTGTTCGGGGCGAGCTCTGTCCCGGAGCCCGAGGGGTGGTTCCTACGGGTCGAGTAGCGCTTGGGGACTCTGCCCGCCGTGACAGCTCCTGCGCTCCCGGGGGGCCGCACGGGAACCGGCCCTGCAGCTGCTTTCCTTGCCCACGGTGCCCCTTTCTTTTCCCCCATGGGACAGGTAGAGCCAGCAAGGGTGTGCCGGAACAGATGGTGCCCACTGCCTTCTGTGCGTGGAGAAAGGTGCTCCTCTTATCTATCCTGTAGTTACGGCCCACAAGCTGGGTGGGGGTGGGGAGAGCCAGAGACATGTTCATAAACAAGCTCTCCGTACCCGTGACAGTGGCAGCATCTCAGTTTTTCCTTGTCTGGCTGCTGAAAGTTAGGTATGCCATGATCTTCCCTGATCATGGGTGGGCAGCTAACACTAGCTGGTGCCAGCTCCTTTGGGATATGTCCTGTGAAAATGTTCACTTGCTCTCTGACTAGTTTTTGAAACTTTAAAACACACACAGACACACACACACACCGCCAAAAAACAACAACCCCACACACAACAAAAAAGTTGAGTGCACTTCATTGTTATAGAAGCTTCTTTTATTACACTCTAAATTAGGGATGTCAAATATTAAATGGTTAACCGGTAAGGATTAGTTTTACTGTTAACCCGCCCTAACCATTAACCCCCCGGCTGGCCACCCCCTCTCCCTTTAATCTGTTAACTAGTTAAACAATATAATTTTAATCGTTTAAATGGTTAGTTAACATTTTAAAGGATATTTACATCCCTACTCTAAACACTTCTAACTGGCTTTTAGGGTTAAGCTCTCAGCCAGTTAAAAGTAGTGGCAGCCCTTGTGTACAAAACGTCAGTCCTTTTTTTAATATAAATCATTACATTGTCACCTCTATATGCTCATTACTGTAATTCTGGTTCAGTATCTTGTTTCTTAAGTTTAATATACATGGTCTGTTTAGAAAAAAAGTTTGCAGTGTGTTCTGTAATCCTTGTGCATGAGGGGCATTATATATATGTAATTGCTTTGCCTACTGCTGAACTTCTGGAGGCTCCTATGGAGAGAAGGGTCACAGTTGTTTACAGTGTGCAATTATGACATTCTGCACTGTAAGAGAGAAAATAAAGAAATATTGATAGTCTGTTTGAAAGAGCAAGATGTATATGTGCTAGAGAATCAAGTTGTCATTTATAGTAGCTTATTTTCTTGCAAAACAATATTTTAAAATAAATTGCAATATGGAACATTCTTCAAAAAGTTCCGGCCCATGTGTATCAAAATCATAGTGATGTTTTCATACTGACTTTGTGGGAAAAGTTCTGTGTGTTCCAAATGAACCAGCTGGGAGATGCAAAGCACTTTGTAACATGTTTTTCAGGAATTATGCTTGAAAATTCACCACAGGTTCCTTTAACCCACTGCAAAAAGGGTGGGTTTTTTTGTTTTTGTTTTTTTGCTTGTACATTTAAACTATTTTGCAGTTGTGATGTTTTTATAATAGCTTTAAATTTCTTAGCTAGAAAAAATGTTATGGTTTAATAATTTAGTGGCTCAAAATTGGAAATTACATTCTGAATTAGATATAAAAATTAAAGGCAGATTGCAAGTTTTTTCTTATTTTAAAAACTGCTTCAGATTTTAAATGCTTACTTTTTTTTTTTTAAACCAACAATTTTTTTTAATTCAAGAAATTAAAAAAAAAAAAAAAATCAGAAGTACTTCTCACTATGTATAGCTGGAAATCTGTTTCCAGGTAAAATTTTAAATTTTGTTTTCCAAGTATTGTACTTATACTGTGCTTATCACTATGGTATCTGAATGCTTTACAGCATTATCTAAACATCTAATTGAAAATGGTATTTCAGAGTTTACTGCTACTGCTGACCATCTTACTGCAAAATGTGTTTCTACATATCAGATTTATAACTTATTATGAGTTTAACACTTAACTGATAGTTTTAAAGTTAAATATTGGTGTCTTTCCTAATAACTGATCACTTATTCGATTGTTGTACTGGAATCCCCACTTTAAATGTTGGTAGCATTAGAGAGGACAGATTAGGGAAGGGGAGAAAAAAGGTAAAATAGAAGGGAATATAGGCAACTTCATGGCAACCACAGGGAAAGGTTTAATCGATTACATGCAGTTTAAGGCTAGAAGGGAGCATTAGATGATCTAGTATGACCTCCTGTATATCACAGGCCATTCAATTGTACCTGGTTACTCCTGTGTTGAGTCCAAATTTCACTCCTCAGAAGACTGAATTGTTGTGTGCCATAGGCAGAAAACAGGAGAGACTGAGATGCTGTCAGTGCCGGGGGCCCCTGCAGTGTCAGGAAATTGATTAGATGGGATGTGACCCGGTGATCCTAGCTGGTGATCCATGCTGGGGAGGAAGGTGACAAACTTCTCAAGGTCCCTGCCAATCTGACGGGAGGGAAAACTCCTTCATAACCTTAAATCTGTAAATCAGTTGAACCCTGAGCATGTGAGAGAGAGACACCAGTTAAGCATTTAAGAGAATATTCTTTATACCACCTCAGAACACTGTCCACCCTCTCCGGTGTCCCATGTTCAGCAGTGGTCAATGCCTGATGCCTCAGTGGAAGGTGAAAAAAATAAATAAATCCCAGAATATATCTGGCCAATTGTGCATCAGAGAAAAAATTCCTTCTTGACCCCTGGAGGCAACTGACTGAAACCCAGAAGTATGAAATTTGGTTATAATCATTGTCTTAAAGTGGAGCTGCAAGTGTTACGCGCATGCTGAGAGTGATGCAGAGCTACCTGTTCTCTCTGTGGCTCATGAAAGGCGGGAATGAACAGGGGGATTCTTAGACTCCAAGGCCAGAAGGTACCACCAGAACCCTCCAGCCTGACCTCTTGCACCGACAGGCAATAGAATTTTTCCCAGAAGCTGGATTAAAGCACATCTTCTTGAAAGATATTTAATCTTGTTTTAAAGGCTCCAAGCAATGGTGAGTCCAGTACCTCCCTTTGTGAGGTACGTGTTCCAAAATTTAATCTCACTCACTGCTAGGAAACTGTCTTATATCAAGGTTGAGTGTGTATAACTTCATCTTCCAGCCATTGGCTCTTGTTATGCCTTTGTCTAGGAGATTGAAAAGCCCCTCACTATCAGATATCTTTTCCACGTGTGATTACCTATACACAGCGATAAAGTCACATCTCAACTCTGTCTCCAATAAGCTGAATAGATTGAGCTCCTTAAGCATCATATTATAAGGTTTGTTTTTCAGCCCTATGATCATTTTTTGGCCCTTCTTTGAACTCTCTCCAGTATTTCCACGTGCTTCTTGTAGTGTGGGCACAGAATTGGACGCAGGATTCTAGTAGCTATCTTACAAATGCTTTGTACATAGGCAAGCTCACTTCCCTAGTTCTACTTGATATTCCCCTTGATATATATCTGGTTATTGCGTTAGTCCTTTTGCCATAGCAATGCACTGAGAACTCATGTTGAAGTTGTTATCCCTGATTCCTAAGTCCTTTTCTGACTCACTGCTTTTCAAGACACTCCTATTCTGCAGGCATAGCCCATGTTCTTTGTTCTGGTGTGTATTACGTTGCAGTTGGCTGTATTAAAATGAATTTTGTTGGCAGAAATAATGCAGTTGGGGGGAGTGGGGCTTGCAGGAATAAAGCCCTAAAACAGGACTCATTCCCATGAGCCAGCCACATGTGCTCTTATTCCTCACCATTCTTCTCAGTGTCTTCATTGGGAGTGGCCCTGAGATGTTACCACCTCCAGTGTTATCGATTAGCAGATGATATTGCTGTACATATTTCTCATCAGAGGCAATGGGTTGTCATTACCTGATACAAGTAAGCATATGGTTTATCCTAGTAAACTTTGAGTGGAATGGGTAAGGGAGGGAGAGGGGGACTCTTTGAGGTAGCAACTTCAGGGTAGCAACTTCACCCCCTATCGAGGCACCTGCCCTCTGATCCTTAAAATGGCTTGCAATCTTTAGGTCCTATTGAAATTGTTATGAGGGCCAAAGTTAAGTGTGAATTACCTGATAATAACTAGTCAGGGATGCTGCCTGAATAGGGGCCAAGACAAGTTGTGGTTCATTTCCAGACTGGGGGGTACTTTTTGGGGAAACTCAGATTATGTCATACTGGCACTTTGCATGCCTCACGGGCAGCTATGTTAGATTGTGACTCCAATTCAGGGTCTTAGTTCTAATATATAAAGTCCTTTATGGACTAAAGCCTTGGTGTCTTGCTGACCATATCTCCATCAGTGACTCCAAAGACTTCTGTGCTTAGAAGGGGCCCTATAACTGACTGAGAGCTTACCTAGGGATGAGTTCTTTAAAGCCTGGGCTGGGCATTTGGAAGGTCATAGAATCATAGAATATCAGGGTTGGAAGGGACCTCAGGAGGTCATCTAGTCCAACCCCCTGCTGAAAGCAGGACCAATTCCCAACTAAATCATCCCAGCCAGGGCTTTGTCAGGTCTGACTTTAAAAACCTCTAAGGAAGGAGATTTCACCACCTCCCTAGGTAACCCATTCCAGTGCTTCACCACCCTCCTAGTGAAAAAGCTTTTCCTAATATCCAACCTAAACCTCCCCCACTGCAACTTGAGACCATTATTCCTTGTTCTGTCATCTGGTACCACTGAGAACAGTCTTGATCCATCCTTTTTGGAA